GGGGCTGGCACCATGGGCGCAGTCATTCCACGTTTATCTTGACGCCTGGCCTTCCAGGAATGTGCCCCCAGCCACAGTCTTACTGTGTTCTTATCTTCTGCTCCGACTTCCTCCAGAGCCCAGCCCTGCCTGACTGCCTATAACTTTTCTACCTCACTTAGTGGTCCAGAATACTGTCATCAGGCCGGTAGATGTTGCAGCCATGCCCACTCCCCCACCCCACCCCTCATTCAGCCAGGGTTCCTGGCAAGGAGAGGAGGTCGCCTGCCCTGCAGCCCCAGACCCTCCTCCCCTGTGGCAACCCTCAGAAGACTGTAGGGAAGCTAAAGCAGCTCCTCAGCAGCCCAGGGTGGGGTCCTGCCAGCTGGGTTCTTCCCTGGTGGGCTTGTGAGGCTGGCCGTCTGGGCATAGGGACGCCCAGTGTCACTGACAGGCCCTTTACAAAACACATTGTCATGGAATACTCCAGTGTCTGAGTCAGCCGCACCTTGGGAGAGGTTTATATTTTGGTTTCCATGCCAAGGACTGAACCCAGGGCTTCCAGCTTGCTAGGCAAGTGTGCTACTACTGAGCCAAATCCCCGGCCGCTGGGCCAGCCGCACTTTGAGTCTCTAGCTACGAACATGGAGATTGGAGCTGTTCCTTGCATGTGGCTCCTGCTCTGGAGTGAGCCAGGTGAAATCCAGCAGATGTGTGCTGGGGCGAGGGGCTTCTGTCTCTCTCCTGTTCCCTGACAAGCCCAGGGTGCAGTCTGATTGAAAGAGCATTCCAGCTAGAGGCCTGCGACATGAGAAAATGTTCATCTCAATCCCCAAAGAATCCCAGAATGGACATAACTTTTATTTATTCTTCAAAACTTATTATGATAGTTTATTGCATTACACTCGAATTTGGGTACTCAAAAGTTAATTGGTATAAATATCACATTTTCTTTATACACAAATGAACTATTGCTGGGGCTGGTGAGATGACTCAGTGGTCTAAAGCACCTACTTAAAACAAGCTTAGCAAAGCACAGGGACCG